AGACCGTAGTGGTTCGGTTGGCAACGATCACACTTCAGACCGGTCACTCCTGGCTTACAGACGCATTGCCCGGAGTGGAGGTCACAGGCCTCTCCATCCGAACCTATCGCCGCACATTCACAAGCCTGAAACCATTTCGATCATTTCTATTTCCGACTCCGTCAATAATTCAAGTATTGAGGTGAACGCGACTCGAAAGGTGGGTCTCACAATCAGCCAGGTGCAACAATCCCACGCGTAAAGTACACCGTTCTGCTAGCGCTTAGGTTGCGCGCAACAAAACCTGGACAACAACAACACGATTTCCATGACATTCCGCATTCGTCGTATGGGCAGAACCGGAGATACTAGCGCCTTTTTCCTTTAGTGAGCTTTCTATGAGGAGTGGAGGGTGGCCCCAATGACGAGTGCACAAATTATAGACCTGACACCGCCTAGACGAGCGTGGAATGTGCCTCCAGTTGCGAAAGCTACTGCAACTGGGATAAACAACTTCTAGCGCCAAATCTGTTCGGGTTCCCCGAAACTGAGAACCCGAACAAAAAAGAGTGGGTTTTCCACCACTGTTGTTTTTTGGTAAACCAGGAGAAAGCAACAGCTTGGCTCCATTTCAGAGATAATCACAAAGTTTAGACTTACCTGACATCCAGCGCCACTGGTAATGTTGAAGAATCCATCCGCACATTTCTCACACATCGTGCCATCAACATTACTGCGGCACTCACATTTACCAGTGATGTTGTTACACTGAAGTGGAGTTATTAGGGATTTCGGTCACTATTTTCACCTCTTTGTTGGGTCATAGGAAGATGGACAGGACAATCGTAATCTGCCGCGTCTTCGCGCAGGACAATCGTAATCTGCCGCGTCTTCGCGCGGCGCATCATGCGGCGGCACACGGCAAACTCTCGAGTTTGTCAACTGGAGCAGCAAAAAAACATCTAAATTCAAGCAAAAGCATGACTCCATGAATGATAGACCTTGCCGGTCATTTTAACTCTCAAATTCAAACAGCTGGGCAGGGAACTCGTCTCTCGCTTGCGCGGCGTCGCTCGCCACTTCCACCAGCGCGGCATACTACATACTATACGATTATCTTGTCCCATACCCGGGATCATGCTCAAATTTAGGAAAAAAATAACCTTTCCGTCTTCAACTGAGCCGTATATGTTGCAGTGACAGAACTGGCATCCCGCGTCAGTAAAGTTGAAGTAAGACGGTCGACATTGGTCGCATCTCTGTGGTAATGATTATTCAAGGAGTTTGATCGTAGACCTTGCAGATCAATAAATCAATACCTTGCCGAAAACACCTTGCTTGCACGTGCACTGGCCACTGACTGCATCACACTGATCACCGATGCTTCCGATCATGTTGCATTCGCAAGGTGGGCAACCGTTTTCGATATCACCATGGCCATCCTGGAAACTGTTCTTTGAAGACACCTCCCGAGATGTCGACGGTGGGCGGACCAGGCGCGCACCAATGACGCTGGTTTCCCACCTCCGCCCACCCAACAGTCTCGGAAAGTGTCTTTAAATTTGATCTCAGTAAATGCCCTGTAGGACTTACCACGCATCTGTCGCATTGTTTTCCGATGTAATTCATTTTGCACTTGCATTCACCATTCTCATTACCGCACTGTGGCGATTCAGCACCCACATGATGACATCCGCAGGGTTTGCACGTGTGCTCCAAAGCCGAGCCCCAGTGATTCTCTTTGCAGAACTGAAAATGCAATTCATCAATCGTATTTTCGTATGAATACTTATAGCACTCCTGCTTAATGCGAAGCTGGTTGGAGGGGGGCCATGTGTGAGACGACGCTATGTCAGCGCACGTCTGATCGTCAAAAAACCTGTAACTTGCACGATGTTGAATTTGGACCTCAAGCTAATTCCTCAGGGCCCATTCTCGAAATGTGAGGTGAGAGGGCGTAGACGAGTAGATATGACGTCTGTGAACTCGTTAAGACATGCTTTGGCAAGCCCTAGCCGCAGTTTGTTTGCCCTTCCTCCCTCCCCCCAAACTCC